ACACCTACATCCACACCTCCACCTACATCCACACCTCCACCTACATCCACACCTCCTCCTACATCAACCTTTCTTCCTCGGTCCACCTCCATCGCTCTTCCTCCATCACTCTCTCCTCCTGTTCTCTCTGTGTTGTCATCTGTTGGGTCAGTCTGTGTTGTGGTTCTACTGGTGTTACTGGTTTTGCTGGTGAGACGATGTGTTCACAGGAAACCTGAAGGTGAGACTCAGACTTCCTGATCTTTCATGTCTGAGTTTGTTTGGTAGAATAAAGTTCAATCTCATTCTGATTACACTAAAAACTTTCATAAATGTAATCTCTGTTTAGATATTTAATTCATTTTCTTGTTCATTTTGGATCATTTTAGCAGATCGAGATGAAGATGACATCATCACTCATGTTATGTACAGTTACATCAAAACATCAAATCAGCAGCAGCCAATCAGAGACAGCAGAGGTAATATTTCAATTCATTCTTCTTCATTCACCCTTAATACCTATTTAACCTCCTTGTACATGGCGTCCACATATGTGGACATCACATTTTGGGTTATTTAGACCAAAATATTCAATTCTGCTCTACAAGGGCCTGATATCCACATACAATGACATTATACTGCTACAGTTCTATCAAAATTTTTAAAGTAATATCCTCATATGTGGCTCTTATTTTTCATGAAAAACCAAAATAAGGTAAAAAAAAAATCTGGTAATTCTTTGTTTTTACATTCATTGGGCCCCAATCAGCCCAAATATCAAAGAGAAATTAAAAATGTGGAAGAGTTCGGGTCTTAGGAGGTTAAAGCCTGTTGACTGAGTTTGGGACATTTTGGAGTATATCCAGGGCTTCACTGGAAATCCTGAATGGGACCCAATTGCAGTAATCCAGCCGGGGTCGACAAACAACGGCATAGACAAGAGTCACTGCCACAGAGTCAGTGAGTGAAGTTAAGAGATTTTCATTAGGTGGGGGAAAAGCTGTTCTGGGAATCCCACAGGCAAATGGGAACCACGAAGGCGCTGCTATTATTATAGTACTAACTATTTCTTCTAACAGAAGTGGACTTGAGTGATGATAGGCTCATCACACCTTGAGGCCTCCTCCTCAAGGTGTGATGCCAGTGGTCATAAGTTGTTCCCTTTAGGTTTATGGTGATGTTGTTGATGTCTACTGGAACACCTGCCAGACAGTACAAAGAGAATGACATGATCTCAGCTGCCAGGCTTTTACCAGGGCACTAAGCTCTGGGAACATATCACCCCCACCCTAAAACCTTAGTCTGATGTAACCATGTGTCTTTTACGCTGTTCTTGCTGAGTGTTGTTCACTGTGAGCTGGACTGTGTGTTTGTGGTCTGTGGTTAACTGAAGCTAACAGCTCTGCAGTCGTCCAGCATCCTGTTTCTGATAGAAAGAAAACATTTCAGCTGCAGCTGTTTCAACACAGAGCTGTTTGTTTTAAACACAGGAAGCAACATGGACACATCATTTGGAAACTCGGTACACACAGACCAACAACTCAAGATTGTATTTAATGTAATTAATACTATCAGATTCAGACTGAATTCAGTTCAATGAAATCATTACTGACCAAGTATGTGTACACATACAAGAAATTGGGTTCTGGCTATTTCTTCAAATACATAAGGAGAGCTTCTCACACAGTGCAACACATGTCCAGGATGTCCAGGAGGAGACAGAAGTAACTGTGCATGTGTGAGTTTGGTGATGGAGTTTGTTATGAATGAAGTATGATTTTTTAGGAATTATTATGTCTGTTTTTTTATGCTTATGGACAACAGATGGAAATTAGCCCTGGGGTCCGTTCTTCGTACCTCGCTAAGTAAGTTAGCTGGATTTGATTGTTGACGATTT